TACTGCTCTTCACTAAGGCGGCCTTGGCACCGTTGGGTCTTTGGAGCAGGAGGCCTGGCTGCGGCCGGGGGCCCCGGACAAGGCTGGGCACCTGGCCCAGGCCCCATCACCTCCATCCCGGATTCGCTTGGGGGCCCCTTCGCCAGCGTCTTGTCTTCGCTCCAAAGACCCAACGGTGCCAAGGCCGCCTTAGTGAAGAGCAGTATGTTCTGATCTGCGATCTGCGGCGGCGGCTGGCGAGCCCGGGCCCGGGCTGGCGAGTGGGCGAGTGGGTAGACCCAAGGCTAGTGTCGCTGCTGCCTGTGGCTTTTTCGTCGAAGGCCTAAAATGATCGCGATTCAAATAACGAGAAAATGACGTCGCTCCCATTTCAAACCCACTCCTACCCCTTTCCTCAACCCCCTCCCACAACAAAACAAAACAAACAAACAAAAAACTTCCCCGGCTTCGCACCTGCCTCGGGCTGCGCACAGGACAGGGCTCCGCCTGCTGCCCAGGGGGTGTGAGCAGCGTGGCCTGGACTTCGGGGCACTCTCAGGGGGCTGTGTCTGATTTGTCGGGTGTATGTTTGTCTCGGAGAATGTGTGTCTGTGGCCCCAAGTAGGTGTTAGGGAAAGATGGGGACCACACCAACTCAGTGACTTCTTAGAAACAAATGAAAAATTCGGAAGACGGCAACGATAAAAAGTAAAATAAAACAAATCACAAAAGTTAAACAGATCCAAATGGAGGGGACAAGTTGAAAATACAAAGTGGGCAAGGGAGGACTGTGGCTGGCGCTGAGGATTTGGTCTTGCGAACTCTTAAATTCTCGTGCTCACAACTGTGCAGGCTCTCGTGGCTCCTCTTTAGGAAGGAATACTGACGTCTTTCCAGCCCTGGTTCCCCTCAGGTCCTTGGGATCCGGCCACCGCAGAGATGGCTCACTCAGACTGTCCTGGCAGCCAAAGTGACTTTCTGGAGCCCGCTTGCCTGTCCCCCACCTCGCCGGAAACCATCTTGCCATTAGCGCAACTGATCGCCATACTGTTGCTATCCCCAAACCCGAATCTTCGCAGCCGCTTGGCCCTGAAAGACGTCCTGTACATGAGATGCCTTCTCATCCTCAAACTCTGCAAACCGTGTCTCATATTTCCCAGCGCTCCTTTTTTCTCTCCTGACACCCCCACCGGCATTTTCTTCTTCCACCAGCTTTGACGGAACCTTTTGGCACTGCTTTGCATCGGAGTCAGTTGCAGTCCCGTGTAGCTGGCTGCAGAAAAATCTACCCAGCAAGGGAAAGGCACACACACGTTTGCAGAAAGTGTCTCGGCTTGCATTTCTGATTGAGTGATCCGAGCTGGACTCAACCTGTAGGGTGGACGGACTGTATATTGATGATCCCTTCTATGCGCAGTTTAGACATCTCTGTTGGGATTTTTTTTTATTTTATTTTAAAAGGCACAAACTATAGATATTAGTTGAATGTTGAGGCTTTAACTTTTTCGGTGTCTTTCTACAGCTGTGTTCTGTGACTCAATTGTATGGTGTTACTCTCAGCCCGTCTCCTCTACGTGACCGTATAATGTTTTTCTCTTCTTGTAGTCTCTATGGTGTGTCTCTATGGCGTAATAAGGTTCTCACGGGTTCAATTCCTTTGTGTTTAGAGAGACCAGATTCAGACAATGGTATATATTTTTGTTATCAGGTGCATGTCTGTCTGATTTCATTTTCTTCTCGTTGGACTATGTTTGTGGACATAAGCGTCATAAGTTATGTTTCAGATTCTCAAATTTATTTATACGTGTTATAATGAATGCTTCTATTTAAAGGGGAAATATTTCTACATGTGCATATAGTTTTCCAAGAGTGTACCATTAACTTGATTGTTGATAATAAAAACAAAAAACAGGTATAAGCAATTGAACGCTTCGATTTTTCTCTTATTTAAGTCAACCTAATTTGAAAGTGTTAAGAGCAGAAGACTTGGTACTAAGCATTGGGAGGGCTGCACTTTTAATCCAGGCGCTTGACTTATAGATCCAAGCATTCAAATTGAGGGAACAGGGGGTGCTTCTGCTCTGTTCCTCAGTAGGGGCCTTAACCACCGATAAAAGTGTATACAAGGTGCTCCTGGCTGCCGTGGACCCATAAGCATCTGAAGTATGATTTGAGAACTGGTCTTTGACGTGAACTTGCAGCGAAAGCTAGGGTTCTGTGTGCAGGACTCTGTAGGATCTATAAATTCACTCTGGGTAATCCAGAATCCCCAGGCCTCAGGGATTGCCGCCACCCGGAGATACCCAGACCTCTTTGTGGTCAAGGTGCAGGCTTTTGGATCATGAAGCAGCTAGCGGTAATGGTGTGCTGGGGTAAACAGCACTAACAACCGGGCTTCAGGAAACACTGCGTGTAACCATTGTGCTTTTATGCCTTGTCCTACCCACCTGGGGCCACACAGCAGGTGCAATCCCTTTTGATAGGGTGAGGGGACACAGAGGTAACGGACAGTTTAACCAGCTCAGGAGTCTCCCGTTGGTGAAAGGTAAGGCCAACGTTTGGATCCCAGAATCCAACAATAGAATCTATCACTCACTATTCAAGTGGTTCTTAAAGTGTAGCTCCCAGGCCCAAAGCATCGACATTACTTAGGGATTTGTGTGCATGCATTCTTAGATCCCACCCTGGTTAACTCTGAGTGGGGCCCAGTGACTGGTTCCTACCGGTTTTATTAAGACTATGAGTTAAAGAACTATACTATTGTCTGTAAGTAACTCAAAGGGAAAGTTAAGAATTCTAACTGCATTCAAAACAGGGGTGTGTGTGAGCGTGCACACATGTGTTCTGATATGTATGTGAGTGCACACGTGTTCTGATAGCTGTGATGGTCCCCTTTTCAAATAAAGAAGTAATCAGGACAGCCCCAAGACACCGCTCTATGTCTTTCTCTCTTGAACTGTTTGAGCTACTTTTTCAAGCAGGAGTCTTTTATGAGTTTCTGACCCTTCAGTTTGGTTTTGGTTTTGCCTTAACAATTAACAATTCAGTTCCCTTAGGTGAGGCATAGCCAACAAACAGCCTGTCTCCTCTAGTCTGAATGTAAGCAATAGATATGACTTGATGTAGCAAAGGCTTCTCATCTCAGTATCCAAACAAGGCTTGTTTTTGACAAAGCTCATTTAGAACTTTCTGAACTACTTTTGTGAAAATAAATGATCATAAACTATGCTTGAAATTTCCAAATATATTTATATATGCTATAGTGATTCTTCTGTTTGAAGGGGAACATTTCAGACATTACATGTGCATATAGTTTTCCAAGACAGGCAAAACTTCAGGTCAAGCTGAGCTTCTAATCATCATTGAAAAAGGCTTTCAAATAGTCTTTGAAAGTTGTCATCTCTAAATGCCCCCTAGTAAAGGCCAAGGCTACATTGCTTATCGACAATGTCTTTAATTGTTCTTTGATCCAAATACCAATGATCACTAGATCTCCTCAGGCTCAGTGTTTGGTTGTAAATGTAACTTTGAGGCAAAGAAAAGAGAAAGTTATTGATTAAAGAGCATTTTAATCAGGTCATATCTTGGCTAGAGGAAAATTGTCCTCTCTTAGAGAGTGAGGGCCATCTGGTAAGAATCCTTGAGCTTGGACAGAGAAGTGGGACAAGTGTCTTGGAGAAGGCAAAACGAGCAGAGACAAGTGAGAGAGAGAGAGAGAGAGAGAGAGAGAGAGAGAGAGAGAGAGAGAAACAGACAGGCAGAGACAGAGAGAGAAAGAGATGGAGAGAGAGACACACACACAGAGAGACAGAGACAGAGGGGGGAGAGAGAGACACAGACAGAGAAACAGAGAGAGAAAGAGAGGGAGAGAGAGAGAGAGAAAGTCAGCTGCGGTGGCCAGGTCATGTCTATGAGTCTCAGTTCTGGAGGATGAGTCAGTTTTTAGTATACGGTTGAAGGCCAGCTTGAGTTAAATGAGACCCTGTCTCAAAACTCCGAGTAAATAAATAGACGAGGAACTGTCAATCAGCTAAAGAGACTTTTAGAAATCCTAGTGAAGACCCTGGAGATCCTTTCAGGGGGGAATAAATGGGTATTTTCTTCTCCTAGCTCAGAGCTACTTTTGACTGTCTAGTCTCTAGGATGAGAGAAAACTCTGGGGGTTGTTGAGGGGACTCTCGCTCCCCAGTATCACAGCTTCCCAACGGGTCTTGTGTGACTCTAATTTGGGTTACCTCTGCTTCTCTCTCTCTCTCTCTCTCTCTCTCTCTCTCTCTCTCTCTCTTTGTTAACCTCTGCTTCTCTTGATGACCTAAGAAGCAACTTGTTGGAAGGTAAGTTTTTGATCAAATGCGAAACTGTCCCTGTAATATGATGGAGCCCCACAAGCAGGACACTGTGTCTCTCACATTGTGTCATTTCCTTGGAGCCCAGTACGGTGTGAACAAGCTCACTTTCACTCTTCCTCTCCTACGGCATTTGCATTTTGGCTCGTCAAGGCATCCTTCTTCCTGGCAACCCCAAGACCACACGTGACTTCACAAAAGCGTTGTGAACTGGTGCCAGATGGCCACCGTGAAGTCAAGTCTCCTCTAAAACACCCCAGTCCGGAGAACCCAAGCGGCTGCATAGAGGAACTGATACCCCAGCACATTAGCTGCCCACAACACATTCCAGACGCAGCTCCCTCAGACCCTAAGGAGGGCAGTGTGTGGCTAACTGGAAATGATCCTCAATTCAGAACAGATGTCTGTACGACTTTGAGAACCTTAATAGGTGGAGCCTGACTCACTCACCAACTATAAATTTGAATAATAAGGCTGAAGGTTGGTAGGGTGGTTAAATAAAATATTATCCTACAAATATCTGGCATGGCAGTAAGTTTTCAGTAGATGATAATGATGTTAACAATCAGATGCCCCAGGTCCTTTCTTGATTTTTGCGGCTCAGGTCTCAGTTCCCGAAAGCCTTCAGAGACATTTGACAGCGAGGCATGGGATGGTAGCCTTGAATACAGTGAACAATTAGCTAACACTCAAACAGGGAAGTCAAGGAGGGTAGTGCCAGGTTGCTTACTGTGCCCAGTAAGGAGTGGAGTCATCCGAAGCATAATTAATAAAAACTCAGAGACAGAAATTGTGGTTTAACCTGAAGACCAGAAAAGCAAAACAGCCAGCCGCTGGTCCTTACCTAAACCTCAGTCTGAAATAGCAATCCTACCTCCAGGAATCTCA